AGAACAGATGCTTCCCCAATTATTTGAGCCATTTAAGACTCTAAGACAGGGCAGAAGATCTCATGGGGAAAAACTTCCCTGCAAAATGTCCTTTTCTTAGACTTCTACTTATTAGATCAGCTAGAACTTGATAGTACTGGATCAACCAAAATAAGTAGACGTGGGGAGAATGAACTGAGATTCTTGGAACCCCCCAAAAGACAAGGCTTAGATCTACTAAATATCTATAGCCTGTCCTGCCCCTATTTCCTACTCCTGTCCTGCCACTTCCAAAATTCTGCCTGTGCATCTTTTCTTATGTTCCCCATGTGTCTCCTTCGTCCAGTTGTCTTTGTCCTTCCTTCACCTTTGGATGCATAGCGAGTGCCCTCCCGGTCACTTCCCAATCCCTCCTGGCAAACTGTTCCACCAGCTCTGCCCATGACAACAGCCACATTACACTCTCTGATTTTTCACCTGAATTGTGCCTATCTCCTTAGATCATGAGAATAGGAGGAGGGATTTTGTCTGTTTTCCTGTTGCAAATCCCCACATGTGCCCTCAAATATGTGCTTGTGATAAAACCCCATGTGCAATGAATGGGTTATAAGGGAGGTTGTAACCAGGCACAAGTGTCTGAAAAATGCAAGGGGGGTGGTTAAGGTGGTACTGGTACAAAGGGGGCTGAGCTAAGGGTAGTGGGTTGACAACTTGGCTGAACAGCATGGACAATGTCCTAATGGTGAAAGCCATTAGGACATTTAGAATTGTTGCCCAAGGATGCTTGCCTCATCCTTGCCTCAAGATGTTTCAAAGCTGGCTAGAGAATAGACTGTAGGGAACAATCTTGAATTGGTAAAGGGGTTATGGATGAGAAGACCTAATGCACAGTTTCCATCTTTAACTTCCCGGACTCTAATATATGGAATTCAAAATTAAACTTGAAAAGTTTGCCGATTCCACCCTCTCTTCTCTCATAGAATCATAGAAGATTAGGGTTGGAAGAGACCTCAGGAGGTCATTTAGTCCAACCCCCTGCTCAAAGCAGGACCATCCCAACTAAATCATCACAGCCAGAGCTTTGGTCAAGCCAGCCCTTGAAAACCTCTAAGGAAGGAGATTCCACCACCTCCCTAGGTAACCCATTCCAGTGCTTCACCACCCTCCTCATGAAATAGTGTTTCCTAATATCCAGCCTAGACCTCCTGCACTGCAACTTGAGACCATTGCTCCTTGTTCGGTCAGCTGCCACCACTGAGAACAGCTGGGCTCCATCCTCTTTGGAACCCCCCTTCAGGTAGTTGAAGGCTGCTATCAAATCTCCCCTCACTCTTCTCTTCTGCAGACTAAACAAGCCCAGTTCCCTCAGCCTCTCCTCGTAAGTCATGTGCCCCAGCCCCCTGATCATTTTTGTTGCCCTCCGCTGGACTCTTTCCTATTTGTCCACATCCCTTCTGTAGTGTGGGGCCCAAAACTGGATGCAGTACTCTAGATGTGGCCTCACCAGTGCCAGATAGAGGGAAATAATCACTTCCCTCGATCCCCTGGCAATGCGCCTACTAATGCAGCCCAATATGCCATTAGCCTTCTTGGCAACAAGGGCCCACTGCTGACTCATATCCAGCTTCTCATCCACTGTAATCCCCAGGTCCTTTTCCGTAGAACTGCCAGTCGGTCCCCAGCCTGTAGCGGTTCAGTTCAGCTTTCCCCTTTATTCTGCTACAGTCACTGATTAGCAAAGTTAGGCGTGAAGTAATGGGAGTAATCTGGCTGAAGAGCTGTGATTCTTAACCACATCACGCTCCGCTGTACTCAGTCTTTGCCAAATGTGCTTTGGGAAACCCTTACATGCCACAGGCCTGCAAAATCCACGAACAGTACAGGTTAGGGCAGCCCACAGTGTGACTAACAGAGTTCTACAGTGTGCACACACACCCTGTGTTCAACACAAGGGGTCATCCCAGATCCCAGAATGCAATGCTCCACCTTGACTTGAGTAGCCAGGCCACTTGGAGCACTGTATGCTGGGAACTATAGTTGCCTGGAGATGTCGGTCCCTATTGAAGAGAGGAGTAGCAAAGTCTGCTCCATTCTATGCAGATTAGGCATGGCCTTTGGGCTCATAGCACAATGCTGAGCCAAGTGTGGACATCTCTGGTTTAGGACCCGGCTAGGGCAACCCAAATTAACCCATAGACGGGACTGTGGGGAGGAGGTAGGTACACACCAGACTGGCACTGCTCAGACATTCGTGCAACAGCACAAGTGGTACGGCAGGGCGGAGCGAGCAAGCTGATAGCCACATACTCTCCCAGTCACCTGGAGTCCTGACAAGTCTGACCCTATCTTAGATTGGGCTTAAAACCCAGCTGTTCCAGAGCGGGAGCTGAGTTCCGCTCAAAGCAGTGACATGGCAACACAAATCAGCTGTGGCTAAATGAACCAATAAGACATGGCAAGGTGTAATGTAGTGTGTATGAATTCACACCTAGTATGTCGAGGGAGGGCCGTCAGTGCAACCAGGCTGGATTTATACCCCACCCTTCCTACCCTTGCAGGTGGGGGCTAGTTGCTTTGGAATGAAATGTTAGTTTGGAGAAATATATATATAATGACTCTGTTGATGAGAGCAATAAGAGATTTATTATTATTCTTTCTTACATGCATATGATCTATTATTTTACAGAGTCCCCTCAAGTGTGTCTAGCATGTTCTGGTCAATTATAAAATGAGAGCTACCTGCCCTATATTGTACATGCTGTAGTCTATTTAATAAATCATCTAGCAATTACATAGCACATTGTGTGTTCACAGTTCTTTACAACTATTCACTGATTAATCCTCAAACATTTAAACAGGTGTGCACTGTAGGGTTCCCATTTTATAGATGGGGACTGCGAGCCATGGAGAGAGGTTAAATGAGTTGTCCATGGTTCCAGAGGCAGTTGCAAGTGGAGCTGGGATTAGCAAATGGGACTTCCTAATTCCCATTATTTAACCATGGTGACGTCCATCCCATAGGATCCCAAAGCCATTACCTGTATAAAGATCACCTCACCCACCACTGAAAGTCAGCCACCTCTGGCATGGAACATGGTAGCTGTTTAACAGCTGACAGGGACTTACATTACAGTTGGGGAAAGAAAGTAAAGGAACAATTCATGTCCAGTTAAAAGATTGTCAATAAGATTCTTCCCTTTATCATTGCATTTAAAGAAATAAAACATAATTTTTCTTTTATGTACATAGCTCTAGGTATGTTTTTAAAGAAGCCTCAAAGAGGTTCTAGCCTTCAGGACAGGGGTTGAGAGAGAAATTAACACACATTACCAATAAAATTATTAACCTCTTTCTTCACTCTACTATTTTTATATGTCACTAGGTTAATTATTAATTACGGGGGACAGTCTGATGGGAAGCAGCAAGTGGATTCCCTTTGTTTCTCTGCGGCTGGAAACTGAATTGGGGTGTTGTTGTTTTTCTGTTCTATTACCTTATCACTTTCTTCAGTGATTGCTATCATTTTCTTCTTCCTCCTCTCTTCCAAAAATTGTTGAAGCCCTAACAAAACATAGTGGGCCTGGTTCCCCTCTCATTTTCACTGGTGTAAATCAGAGTAATTCTCCTGATGCCAGTGACGCTATATGAGTGTACATGACGGGGGAACAGGGCCTATTGAACATAATATGTGGCTACCATTTGCAGTTGTTTTTCTAGCAACCTGTATTCAACAGGAGAAGACGCATGGTCCAGAAGTTAGGCTGCTGACCTGGGATGTCCAGGTTCAGTCCCTTGCTCTGCTATTGATTTCCTACATGGCCTTGCTCAAATCTCTCTGCCTTCCTATGCTTCAGTTCCCCCTGTGTAGAATGGAACAATGGGAGGGGGGGTGCTGTGAGGGTGAATACACTAAAGACTGTGAGGTGCTCAGCTAACATGGTAATGGCCGTATATGCACCGTAGAGAGATTTAGTTCAGATGACCTATTCCCATAGGAGGGAGCAGATTGCACTCATCTGAACTGGAAATGATAGCCACTCCATACGCTGTTACCCCTTTTGGTACACAGGAGTCTATGATGGACGTGCAGGTCTATGGAGGGTGATATTGCTTTGATCAGCCTTCACTGGCATAATAAACATCATCTGAAATTTAAAAATACAATTAGAGTCAAATTTGACCCCCACAGACCAGATACTGAGAGCCCCCAAAACCCTGGGAAAGTTCCATCCTGAAGTCGAGCTCTAGTGACAGTCAGTCCTCGGGAAATCAGCAAAGGCAAGGAGGTTTGGGTTGGTTTGGTGCTCAATCTGTGTAAATCTCAGCAATTTCCCTTTGTAGACAGCTGCAGGAACCTGCCTCTGTTTCCACTCTATGGTGTGGGCTTCACCAGGCCTCCCACATTTGGCTGTGAGTTTCACATTGAAACGGGCCTTCAAAACTCCAACCAGAACTGGGTGGGAGAGGCCCAGTTTGGCTCCATTCTTTCCAGGGACATTCTGAGCAGGTGGAATCCTCACCCCTCCTCCTCCCTATGGAGTCCCTATGGATGCTTCGGTCTGCTTCTGCACGCTGGTGGCATCTGTCTCAATTTCTGCCATGGGTTTCATCTGAGGCATTATTACCAGACTCGCAAAATTCCAACTGAATATAAATTAAGATGTTGTTAATCTTCCCTTATGCCATAAAAAGAGTCCCCCTCTCTCTCCCGCTCTTCCCATTCATCTCCCAGCCCTCTCATGTTCTAGCTCTAATCCAAGCCCCACAGCCCTGTTTCTCTCCTCATGTCCCTCTCCTTTCTCAGGGCCCCATTCTCCCGTTGGCCTCTGTTCCTTCCCTCACCCCATCTCTAACACTCCCTCCTTCCTCCTCACCCATCTGACCCTTGCTCTCTCTGTTAGTTTTTCTTTTCCCTACTGGAGTGACTCCTGTTCAAACTGATTCATTTGTCCTGGGCTTTACATTCTTTTCTTTCTCTCTCTCCCTCTATCCCTGTTTCCCCCTCTCTCCCGTACAAACAGGGAAAGAGAGCTCCTTGGGAGAGGCTGAGTTACAGCCAAGCTCTGACCCTGCGGGAATGGACGGCAGCTACCTCAGTGTGAAGGAGGCCGGGGTGAAGGTGCCCCAGGACAGGGCCAGCACTGACCTCCCCAGCCCCATGGACAAGGCTGACTCGGAGAGCAACAAGGGCAAGAAGCGGCGGAACCGCACCACCTTCACCAGCTACCAGCTGGAGGAGCTGGAGAAAGTCTTCCAGAAGACCCACTACCCAGACGTCTATGCCAGGGAGCAGCTAGCCATGAGGACCGATCTCACTGAGGCCCGAGTACAGGTAATGGGGGAAGCTTTGGGGTGGATGGGAGCAGTGGGGTTTTCAGTGTGTGAATGAAGAATATTCCAGGCAGCAAGATAATGAGTCTTATAATTCACTGGGACTTAACAGATCTGGAATATGGCTCTGTATTACAATGTTACATCTTAGCTGAGGTTGCCTAGAACTTCACCCCTAATTCCACTTAAACTTACAGCCTACAGGGCTGTACCCAAAGTCCATGCCACAGACTCATGCTCTTCTCTTAGGCAATGGGCATCAATAGACCAAGATACAGGGAACCTTATTTCTGCCTGGTGTTAGTGCAGACTTTTTTGTTTTGGATTAGTATCCTTTGAGATTCACAGAGGAGCATGCTGTTCCTTGAGTTAATGGAGCAGTTTCGCAAGCAACAAGGCAGCAGGTAGTCTTCAGCGATAGTTACTCCAGCAAGGCTCTCATGTAAATTATTTTGCTCCAAAAGAATCAGATGGGGACACCGGCTCAGTAGCCACGGTGGCGCCAACCTTTCTCATGCTATATCCCATTGCTGGCAAGGTGGGGGAGGCAGAGGTCATCATGACCTGCCAGGCCAGGGATGCAGAGACAGAGAATGCAGAGACACAATTGAAATGGGTTTTGCTGCCTGGTTGGCCGAGCAGGCTCAGAGACAAAGCAGGAAGCCTATTGTTTGGGGGCAAAAAGGTATGGCTGCCACCTCCAAAAGAACAGGGGAGTCCAACAACAACCCCAGGCTGCAAAGTTGCCAGGTCTCACACAGTTGTAAGCTGAGGCTTCATCAGGGCTTGCATAGACGAGATCCCAGGAAGTGGCTATTGATAGTATTTCTTGGAGACACATCGCAAATGCTGATGGTTTGTCCTGGAGGTCCGGGTACAATCTCAGGTTTACTGATCACACGCTGCACAGACTGACTTCTTTTGCTCAGGAGCGGCAATCCTATGGTAGTGGGAGGGGGGACTCTCCTTTTCATGCTCAGCCCAGAGCCTCTGGTTCATGTATCTTAGCTTCTCCAGAGGTACTCCAGGGGGTGTAGAGGAGAGGATTTGGTACCTGATCTTCCATGGCCTTGCATGTTTCATCATCGTTCACACCTGTGCACAGTGAATGATAGTACTGTACACTTTGCCCTAGTAGTGGCAATGACAACACAGAGTGCAAGGCTGCAGTGAGTTGGGCCCTGTGCATGTTTGAGGGAATGAATGATCTTCCCCTCTAGAGTTTGGCCTGTAGACAGGTTAGGGGGCCTACCACTGCTGTTAACTAATGGAGCACTCCCTCACCTCTACAGTGACAGAAGCTTGTATTCTGGAGCCAAAGGACCGGGGTTCTAGGCCTGGCTCATGTGTGAGAGACTTAGCTAATATTTGTGTCTGTTGTCTGCAGACCTGGGTTTTGTTAAAATGGAGTGACCAGATTGTTAATCGTACACTCCAAAGCCGACCAGCTTTGCCCTGCTGCTGCCCCTCCACTTAAGACCTGTGCCAGAGAAAGGTGGCCTACAGAACTGAGGGTGACAGAAACTGTCCTGAGAATGGGCAGGGATCTGTGGAGATGGAGGAAGTGGCCAAGGTCACTGGAGTCCTTTACCTAAGGAAGCTCAAGCTGCAAGAAACAAGAGAAAACCTAGTGTTAGAACACACAGCAAGTTACCTGAGTCCCCACCATGGTATTTTTTTCACCTGCCAAATGGTGGCAACATACTTGAATGGATTTCACCTGCCACATGAGCCCCCTTTCCTGGTGGCTACCAATCACCATAGCTCCATTGACTTTGATGGAAGTTTGCTGCCTGAGGCTCTAACCTGTAGTGTGTGACTGCGTGGCTGGCCCATAACCGAACCTGAGACTCCAACAGGGAACTTTATGGTCCCTAAGGAGCAGATATTGTAATAGGTGAACCAAAAGCCAGACCTTTCTTCTTCCTAGCCTGATGGGGAGGAGATGAGGTGGTCTGTGCTGTGACTTGCCTCAGTAAAAGCCTGGCCTGGTCCTGGAACTGCCTTCCCTCTGGCCAAGCTGGTCTCCCTCCAGAACTAAACAGTCCCCAAAGCACCAGGTTGTAGCAGAGACAGAGCCCAGACAGACAAGTCACTGGTCTGGTTCTTTCCAGACCTCTCCCCAGCTCACACTTTGCGAGTGAAATACCCGACTGGGAGCCAGGCACCTGGAGAAGAACTCACCCCAGCAGCAGGCCCGGCACAGTGGGCTCTGTCTGCGGAGCTCTGGAATGGAGTGTCTTTGGAAATCATTCCACAGCTTGGCCCCTTTCCAGACACTGAAGAGGCCACTTTTCTGCCTGCTTTGGATTCTAATCTCCACAGCTGGTGTCTACAGGCAATAAAGCTGAGTTTCCCCTGAGGTGCAGCGTGCTGTTCGTTTTCTCACTCCGCACCTGCAGATGCCCCTGAACCTTATTTAAAGGAGCCAGCTAGCTGAGATATCGCATGGTCCAAACTGCAGCGACCTTAGCAGTCAACAATCCCAATGTGCTGCAAGGTTGCTGCAGTGACAGGGGCACCTTTACAAAAGTAAGCACTCAACAAACTTCTCCTTCCTTTACATGCTACATGTAAACAAAGGCGGGAAGGCATCAACCTCCAGCATAGCTTTCCCCCCTTCAATTATTCTGGGCCATGGAGGTCCTCCTGGAGTCAGAAGGAAGTTACAGAATTATAGAACCACAGAAGCTAAAGTCTCTGGGCCCTCTTGGAAATACCCAAATACCCAAATACCCATACCATGCTTGGTAACAAACTTAGAAACAGAGGCAGCAGGGGAAGGAAAGGCGGGGCTAGGACAGGGATGATGGGTCAGGCACAAAAGGCTGCTCCCCCAAAGAGGGCCACTGGCCATGTCTATGCATTTCCTTCTGCTCCCCCTCTCCCATAAGTGGGTGGTGAGCCCCCCTGAGCAGCACTGCAGCTTGGCGTGTGTCTATCACAAATAACCTACCACTGAAACCAGTACGGTGTAAGAGGCTGAGACAAATCTGTTGAACCTAGTGGATCAATGCAACTAGGTTACCAACTCTCCCTCCAAGCCCAGGATCCCTGCCTTGCTTCCTCCCTCAGGTCCCCACTCCTGGAGTCCCACCTACTTTTCCTTATATGGATCTGGTCTGGTTCTTTGGTGTGAGAGCTGCAGAAGGCTATGTGACCAGGGACAGGATCCCAAGGGGGCTCTTTGAGGTTTGATTGATCCCACATATATTGAGAAATATATAACCCAACTGCATGACCCTCCACCACACCCCCATAAAACACACACACGTGCACAGCTCCTTCCTTGTGCACATGTGCTCACATCTTCTGTCAGACACCCATCCCTATACATAAATGCACACACAGACATCATTGCACCCCCCCACCCATCTGATGCATGCACACACACCATTGCGAAGTCTCCATCCCTGCATATGCACATGCACACACAAAGAGGAACACACTTGTATACACACATGTACCACTGCGCCTCCCACTCCCCAAGCATACCCATACAATTGCTTATATGCAGCCCCTCCCAACCTCCATTCAGTGCACCCCAGCTCAATACCAGCACATGAGCATACCTCTCACTGGCTGCAAGTTTCTCTTTAGCAGACAGTAGCTGTGATTCAGGTTTGCCACCTCCGTATGGGGTCAGCGCCAGGGAATGTCACCCCACTGCCCCTCCCCAGGGCAGGCCTCCTTATTGCAGGGCTGTTAATGAAAATCTTTTCAGTGTTGACCCTGTGATGCGGCAAGGGCTTGAAAGCAAGGGGGAAATGTCAAACTCTGCTGTAGCAAAAATCACTGCCTTGATAAAAAAAGCAAAGCAAAGCAAGAAGTAATATATCTTGATCCCTTTTCCCCCATAAAACCCTGGGAGGCTGGTGGAAAGAGCGGAAAGACTGAGCTAAGCCTGCAGGAAATTAAACATGAAATGAAAACAAGCTCAAGTTATTCAATTCTCTCATCCCAGGCTCCAATTTCCCATTCCAGGCCACTGATAAAATGGTGTCCAGTTTCAGTGCTTAAGGATGAATTCTGGCTCTGTTCTTGCAGGCTGGAAAGTGAAGGGCTTGTGGCCCTCACCAAGGGAAGGGGAGACAGCCTGGCCTTGAAAAGGGAGGAGCTGAGACAGACAGACACTGACAGACTGTGAGCCTGAGCGTGAGAGAGAAAAGGGCAGCGAGAGAGGAAGAGAAAGAGACAGAGACCGTGAGAAAGAGAAAGATAGACAAGAGGCAGAGACCATGAGAGAGAGCTTGTGAGGGATTGCAACAGAGAAACAGCTGGAGCTGGACAGTGACAGAGGCAGAGAAATGCAGCCACAGACAGGGAGCCAGAAACCCAAAGAGCTTCCCCTAGAGCTGAGCCCAGCCCCAGCCTCAGCCCCAACCCCTGCTCCCTGAAAGTTGAAGCGTGTGGGGGTTGGCTCTGAAATCCAGATCTCAGTTCTGCAGAATGAGCCCCTCTTTCCTTTAACTATACTGAGCTCCTCACCCCCTCTCCCCCATCACTTCTGTTTGCATCAGAAGCATAGGGGGATGTAAGCATGGGAGTGGGGTGTTCAGAATACCCAGCTGAGCATTGTGAGGAGGAGGAACATTTTCCCACTGTGTGAGAACAGGCAGCACCAGCTGAATGGGGGGACTGTAGAGGGGGTGGAGAGGAGGAAGTTACTGACCTTTTTGTTACAAACTATTCCCTGCCTCCCCTACCCCCAATATCTATCCATGTATATGGATCGATGTACCACTATAAGGCTAGATGTGTATGGAGACATAGACCATTTATTCTAGTCTATAGATTTTACAGGACTGATTTGTTCCTGTGCTAGATCACAGCTTATCAACATGCAGCCTGCAGGTGAAGAACACGCTACACTACACTGCTACTATTAGCATAGAGCTGCAGACCACGGTCCTAGTGGATAGGCCACATTGCATGCTGGGACCTGTAGTCTCCTCACTATTAAAGGTGCCCCGCTAAGAAAAGTACATTGGGTTTGTACCATTTTCTGTTTCTTTCAAATTCGCTGAGAAGGCCTGGAAAGGTTTGTTTTCTTTCCTTGCTTAGAGCGTTATATTATATGTCTTATCTGCCCTGTTTTTCCTGGAAGACTCCATGGAAGACTGGAGGCCTAACAGGTTTATAAGAACAAAGCTACAAAGCAACTAAAACATGACAGAGCAAAGGGACTGGGATTGTTTAAAGCATTTGAGTTTTGTTAACACTAGTTGAAGCTGACTGCCTGAATAAACAGCGGGGAGGAAAGCTCGGTGTTAAAAATAAAACACTTCCCCCACCCACCCACCCACATAGGGCTCAGAAAACTCCCACTTCATAAGTGAGACCTTCATCCAGAGTTTTGCTGGAGGTTTCCCTGAAGAGACCTAAGGTCTCTGGTATTTCAAGACCCAAAACAACAAAAGAGAGCCCTGTGCACTGTTTTTATTCCTTTGACGTTTTCCTGTAAAGCTGAAGGGTGCCGCAGCATGCTCAGTTTCATACAGATTAGCAGCCAGACGCTGTCCTAGGCTCTGGCAGTGTAAAGGAGACCTAAAGTCAGAATATCAGGACACTTAAGGATTTCCCTTGCCTGGGGAAGTCCCGGGTAGCATAGAGTTGCCAGAATGGGACGCACTCTGTTGTGACTCAGTGGGGCGCTCAGGTGTGGGATGGGGGATGTGCACTTTGCATGAGACAGTCATATGTGTTTATCATGCTCAGAGATGGGCACATGTGTGTGGCATATGTTCTCACCAGCCTTGTGTGCAGTGCACAGCACACCCCCTAGCTGCTACCCATCTTCTATGCACAGCATGGTCTCCCCAGCATAGGGAGTAGCAGGGTCACCACCACTGACTGCATCTGCAGATCAAAGCTCTATGGAGCTGGCCAGCACTGGGACTGGCCTCCAGCTGGGCTGCTTGGAGGCGGGGCCAGTGCTAGCAGAAAGCAGACAGATGCCTGGGGCCCCAAACCTGTTCCACTGGGATATTATTCAAATGCAGCATTCTCGCTATATTTCGGAGCCCCCTTTGATTTCATTACTTCCCGGAAACCTCCTACCTTTGGAGGGGGAAGGGGGTTGCTAATTGCTGCACAGGATGCAGGCTATCCCTAAATGGGAAGCTGTCCGCTGACAGGGCTGCCGCTAGCAGGCTCCATTGCAGATGCCACTGCATGTATGTGAGTGATCTCCTTGCTGTCCCACTGACAGGTTCTAACCCATCCCCAGACCACATGGCGAGGCGATCGGCTCATAAGCAACAGAGCTGGTTCTCTCCCCCGAGCCTGCCTTTGACTTGACTGAACAGTCAGCGCTAAATGCTCCCTGAGCTGCCATGTAGCTCCTGGCAGCTCCTTTCATGCGCCAGCCTGACCTGGGCTTTCCTGCCCCTAGTGACTGCATGCATCTGTCAGAGCCCTTCAAAGCAGCTCTTGATGGATGCGTTTCACTGACTCACAGCTTCAGGAGGCTTTGAACACACAGGAACGGGCTTTACAGGTGTAAAACATGAGTGACTCCATTGAAGTTGTGGTGGATAATCAGCTGAACGGGAGCTCCCAGTGCAATGCTGTGGCCAAATGGGTTAATGTGATCCTTGGCTACCCACACAGAGGAATCTCAAATTGGAGTAGAGAGGTTATTTTACCTCTGTGACCACTGCTGGAATATTGTGTCCCATTCTGGTGTCTGCAAGTCAAGAAGACAATTGATATATTGAAGAGGGTTCAGAGGAGAGCCATGAGAATGATTAAGGGATCAGAAAACCTGCCTGGTGCTGATAGACTCAAAGAACTCAACCTATTTTGCTTAACAAAGAGAGGGTTAAGGGGTGGCATGATCACATATCTACATGGGGAACAAATATTTGATAATCGGCTGTTCAATCTTCAGTCATGCAAAGAAAGGTGTAACATGAGCCAATGGCTGGAAGTTAAAGCTAGACAAATTCAGACTGGATATAAAGTGATAATTTCTAAATTTTTAACAGTGAGAGTAATGAGCCATTGGAACAATTGATCAAGGGCTGTGTTGGATTCTCCGTCACTGACCTTTTGTATGTCAGGATTGACTGTTTTTCTAAAATCTCTGCTCTAGGAATTAGTGTGGGGAAGTTCAATGGCCTCTATCATACAGGAGGTCAGAACAGATGAGCAAAATGGTCCCTTCTGGCCTTGGGATCTATGAAGTCAGTGCAGTTACATTGATGTGCAGTCAGAAAAAGTCAGATCAGAATCGGGGTCTGAGGTTTCCCACTGCTGAGACAAGACCTGAACAACTAGATTTCAGCTAAGTAGTTATTAAACCTCCATAAACAGCTGTAAAATAAGGGATGTGTGATAATAATACTGACTGAGCACTTTTAAGCATGAAGCAAGTGCCCACTACATTTCATGGAGCTTTACAAATGAGAAAACTAAGGCAGAGAGATTAGTGAGTTACCCAAGACCCTAGAGTTACCCATTGTCAGAGCCGGGATTAAAACTCACGATCTCCTGGGTCCCAGATCTATACTCGGAACTTGGCACCAACAAACAGTCTACTTATTGAAGATCTTCATTTGATCCCCATTGCTGATCCTTTGATCCAGAGGGTGACAATTCAGCTCAGCTGAAGGAGCTATCAGGGCAGGAATAGGAAAGCAGACACAGTCCAGTAACGTTCATGTTCACTCCCAGGATCTCCAAATCAGGGAGGGTTTGGTTAGGGCTTTGCTGAGATCATGGGCAAAAACATCAGTTGGCCCAACTGAGGCTTGTTAGAAGTTGCCCAACACAGCCCCAATGCAGAGCGTCTCGTGTGGCAGGCAGTGGGGTGCAGTATGGAAGAAGCTGGCATTACCGCTACCTGATCAGTAGCTAAGTACATGAACTGACAGAGGCTGCACTAGCTACAGGCAAACAAGGAAGATGCTAGGGTGACAGATTTGGCCCAAGCACCCCCGATGGAGGAGTAGCTGAGCCAAACCTGAGTGGCACTGTGACCCCCATACACCAGGTTATTACACCATTCCCTTAGATTTGGTCCAGCTGCCCTTCCATCATGACAGAGGGGCAGCTGGGACAAATTGGAGTGGCATGGCAGGGGGAACCCTGAAGTGTTGTGTAGGGGGCAGACTGCCAGGAGGGGCCTCTGTGAATTGAGACTCCAGGGCTGTTGAGCTCTTACGTACTTTTATACAGCACCTCTCACCTAATAGGAATGAATTAATATACACAGCAACCAGGAGAGGTGGGTCAGGATTATCATCTTTATAGAGAGGGGATAGGACATGCCCAAGGTCACAGAGAGTCAGTAGCAGAGCTAGGACTGGAATCCAAGTTTCGTCACTCCTGGATCAGCATAATTTCCATTGGATCTCTCTGCCCTACTGTAAAAATAATACCAGGTTTATACATGAGACAACTATGCTTTTCCTTTCATTCAAGGAATTTTTTCAGTGGATTTCTATGGCTCACACAGGAATCCCTTACATCAGAAAGATCCAACAATGGAAAAACCCAGATCTCAGCTCTGTAAATGTAGAGGAGATTCTCTTCCCTCGTGAACTAGGAAGTGTTTCCTACTTCCCTTCATCTTAGGAGGAAGCTCAGTTCTCAAGGACTGGGATCCTCGAGGAAGAGGGAAGTTTCCATCTATTTTTTGTGAAAACAATTTGTTGGGGGATTTACAATTTCCCCAGAGTGTCAGAAAGTGGGATCAGCAGCCATGGGACACCTGGAATGAAACTGAACAGAAAGTGAAAATGACAGGGCTAGTGTCTTTCTCTGAGCTGATGAAGGTGCTGAAAGAAACCACACCGGATTATTGATACAAAGAAAAAAACAGATTTTAAAATTCTTTCCAGTTGACTAATCTCTGGGCGGGGACTTATCAGTGATGCAGGGACATTCGTCTCAACAGCATCTCTTTTACTTTAGCAGGTAAGAAATTGCATCTAGCCAAAAATAAACAAGAGACTCTGATTCACCGAATTCTAGGGCAAGCAGTAAGTGGGGTGCCCCATTGCCTTAGATGGGAGCTCAAGTGGGTGACTAGATATCTAGAACTGGGATTTGGGGCCCACTTCCATTGTATTGAAATCAACGGAAGTTAGGAACCTAAATACCTTTGAGGATTTGGGCCTTTGTGCAACTGCGTGTGGGCGCTTGGCATCATGTTGACATGCCTACAATCGAAAATTGTCCCTTGCCCCCAGTTAGGTTTGGGACTTCTATTGCAAAGCACTCTGGGTACAGCACAAGAGGTGTTATCTGCCAAAAGTCTCCCCAGGCTGGTGTTCTGGGAGCTCTACCCCCCACTCTCTCTGGAGGTGCTTTGAGCTCACTCCTTGCTCCCATCCTCTCTGATCTCTGCCGTCTGTGCTTGTCCCCTCAGGTTTGGTTTCAGAACCGACGGGCAAAATGGAGGAAGCGAGAGCGCTTTGGTCAGATGCAGCAGGTTCGCACCCACTTCTCAACGGCCTATGAGCTGCCCCTCCTAACCAGAGCAGAGAACTACGCCCAGGTGAGTGTCCCCTGCCCTGTCCCACTCCAGCCTCTTGACTGCCCTGTTCAACTTCTTTCAGTCTCCCCCTCCCTAACCCTGAGGCTATCCATCATTGTGATGCACTGGGGCAATGCTGGCCCCGCTGGGAGGTAGTGGGCCGAGACCAGAGTCACTTCTAGTGTCTGGGCAACAGATGTCTGACACAACATTCACTCATAGTCCCTTGTGCTTCCCACAATAAGTCGGCCCTTCTGCTGAAAGACAAACTGTACTGACCCTGTGAGCATCTCAGGCACAGTCTGGGGTAGCACAGTGTGGAGCTATACATCATCCTCTTTCAGACTTACCTCTGCGGTGCTGCCTACAAAACACTGGCAGCTGATGACTGCTATGCAAGTGGTGCAGTGAAGCCACTGTCTACTGGGCTAATTTTGCTCCTCTTGCTGTTAACTTGTACTTCCCACTGCCCCCTTCATTTGTCTTCCCTGTTGGCTTCTCATGTCCTGTCAGAAACCTAGATTGCAAGCTCTCTGGGGCAGGTGTTTGTACAGCACCTAGCACTGTCAGTTCCTGATCCTGGATTCTACCCCAAAGTGCTGCCGTAATGCAAATCAATACATAGATAATAATTATCATTACACAGCTCTCCCCAGCTCTTAAGAGTGGGCAGATTGATCTAGATTTCCCATGCCCTAATATAGGGCTGTCCTTTTCAGCCTCCCCTAGGGGCGACACCAAGACCAACCCAACACCAAGCAGCACGGACAATGATTCATTGGCCACACTACATTCATTCCAATTCTGTTCTATTCAGTTCTTAAATTATATTCTGTTCTGATCCCTGGATATTTTAGCTCCTGAAAACATTTAATTGGTTTAGAAAAGGTGTGACTGGACCCTTAAACAAATTCTCCAGATGTCCCTTCCCTTTTAACACTAGTCCCTGCCTGAATCAAGTAGGAGTCATTGGGCGCAGGCTTCTCATCTGTTTCAATCTCCCAGGACAAGCTTGTCCCTCTGTGATATCACCTGATGTAGCCTTCTTATATATTCAGGCAGGAGGAGACACCAAACACCCTGCTCAGGGATTCTCCATTTAGCTAGATACTTGTATGTCCCCCTTCAGCACAGCTGAGCACCTCATAATTGGCAATGTATTTATCCTCGTAACACCCTATGAGATAGGAAAATGCTATTACCCCCCATTTTACCCATAAGGAACAAAGGCACCAAGAGGCTAAGAGTAGGAGCCACAAAAGTAAACCCCAATAGGCACCTAAGCCCCTGTTTTAGTCACTTAAGTTCCTATTTTGGCTCCACTGTGGTCCACAAAATTTCCATCAAGTCCATTAGATACCATAAACTCACTCAGTGACTAAGTTTTCAGGGTAAAAATTCCCTTGGGGCTTGTGTTTTGACTCTGAGCATTTGCACTGCTGCTTGCCTCTAAGTGCCCGTATGCCTATCTCCCACCTAAGCTGTGGAGCAATTCATAAACCGGGGGAAGACAGGTGTTTGGCCACTTAAGTCGCATGCTGGGCCCAATCCCGTAGATGTGCTCAGAGGCTGCCTGCCAGATCAGGTCCCATTCAAAGCCCAGAGTTATTCTCACACTCTGTCTCCCTCTGGCCCACTGACTGTTCCACTATGGATAAATACTTAAATAGTCATTGGACCAGACAGAGAGAGAGAAGATAACTCCCTAGTCCAGTGTTGGGACACCCATCTGGGAGGTGACCCAGGCTCCAGTCCCCCTGCTCCAACCATTCTTTCATTATTTATCATCAGAATAGATTGAGGGAGTCCCCACATGAGACTATCCCATAGCTCAGTAGTTAGAGCACGCTCCTGCGAGGTGGGACACCCCTGTTAAAATCCTTTCTCCCCCTCTGCCTGCAAGGGGGGGAACCAAACCTGGGTCTGCCACATCCCAGAGAGAGGTCTAACCACTGGGCTAGAAGGTGGGGGCCCCTCCTTGAGCCATTTTGTGTGGAGCACACAAAACTGTTTCCCGCAAGAAATGTCTTAGGTGCCTAAGCCACCTGACTCCAGGCAGCAGGTACCCTTTCACGGATTTCTAAGCAGAGATAGGCATCTCCTTACAGCTTGCCTTCCATGGGTGGGGGAGGCAGAATTAGCATCTCCCGTTGGCTAACTTAGCTCCCCACCTAGTGCTGATATTTGTGGATTGCATTCTTAGGTGCCTATCTTTCCCCATTCATCGTATGGGGGGGCTAGGCACTTACCTCTGGCTTTCTTCCTGTGTTCTTCCTGTGATTGTCAAGTTGCCATGACACTCACCATTGCAACGCCTAAGTCCCGTTGGGGATCCCACCCTGAGTGACATGCCCAAGGTCACACTGGGAGCCTGTGGCAGAGCAGAGAATCAAACCTGCATCTCCCAACACTTAGGCCTAAAGAGTGACCCAGACTTCCTCTCCCATGTTCTCAGAAGGCTGCCAAGGGAAGGACTCAAACTCTCAGTGGTAGTTGGGTTTGGTGGCCACAACATGTCCCCTTGAGCCACCCAGTCTTTGTCATGCAGGATCCAAGAAATCCTGGGGTTTGTCAGGTCAGATGTTTTACAGCTGAGCTTTTGCTCCCCTCAGCTGCTGGGATTTCCCCTCCAACCCTGAGCTGTCAGATGCATGGTTGGCCTTCCTGGAGAGCGCGGCAAGCCGGCTTTCCTGCATCAAGGCCAAGAGTGCTTGACCTTTCCCCTTGGTTGGCTTCCCCTTTGTATTGGAAGGAATAAGAGGCCCTTATTAAACAGCTGAGAGACACCGAAGGATCTTTCAAGCAAAGGACGCACTAGACCACACTTTGTAACACTCTCTCTTCTGCCTTTGTACTTTCATCGCCTCCCTCACTCCTCACCACCTCCTCCCCCAGCCTAAAAAAATGTACTTTGCAGGAGGTAAAAGGTCAGTAGTGGAACAGAAGCCAGTGATGCTGCCGGGCTGTGGAATGTTGGGCTCTTCACACTCTCGCTCCATCTGGATCTTCTCTTGTTGCATTCTTTCATCTTACCCCCGCCCAACACACCTATTCCCCAAGGAAGGGCCTCCCGTTGCCAAACACCGCTCTTCTTCTGCAGTATCATTTTGTTTTATTATTAAGATTCAGGATCCCAGATGGCCAGACACTTGAATCTGACTTTGCTTTCTGGGGAGTGGGGGGCACAAGCAGGGGTTTCCTTTTCTCTCTCTAATCAGCCTGCATATGCTAAGCAAAAATTAAGGCAAGCAAATGGGAAATGGTCTGTCCCAGAGACTGCATGCTGACCACACCTGTGTCTCTTTGACAAGCATACTGGAGTGCTGCAAACACTTTATTACCTATTTGTATTACACTAGTACTTAGAGGCCCTAACCAAGGTCAGGGCCCAACTGAGCCAGGAACTGTATACTCCCAAACGATGGGAACAGCCATTGGTACTAGGGTCGCTCCCCAATATGCCCACCTCTTCATGGCCCACTTTGAGGAAGAATTTCTGGACAAATGCACAGTGAAATCAATGGTATATCTAAGATACGTCAATAATATTGTCATCCTCTGGACAGACCTAAACTCCCTCATAGATTTCCACCATCCATCTATTCAGTTCTCTCTCGAACACTCACTCCTGCACCAGCATCAACTTCCTGGACACCACGATCAGCTTCAGCAATAGAACCCTACTGACAACTACATACAAGAAACCCACAGATCACCATCCTTACCTTCACAAATCCAGTAACCACCCCCAAGGCCCCAAGATATCTGTTATCTACAAACAGGCCCCCAGATATCACAGAATATGCTTCAAGGAGAAAGTCCAGGATACCTACCTTAAAACAAGGACACTCCACCAGAGAAGTAGATCGCATCCTGTAATAGGCCACCCAAATACCCCAAGAGAACCTGCTTCCATATCGGAAAAAAAAACCAACCTCTGACTGCACACCCCTCATTGTCACCTATCACCCCACACTGGAACCCATGCAGGGCATCATTAAACAATTACAACCTATGCTCGATGGGAACCACATTCTGAAAGAACTCTTTCCTTAATCCACACTTCTGGCCTTCAAACAATCCTCCAGCCTCTCCAAACTCATCATCAGAAGCAAGGTCTTCACAGCCCAGGACCCACAAACTCAATGCAGCACCAAACCCTCCTATAACAATAGATGCAAAACTTGTAGACATATCTCCACTGCTTTGATGATCAACACCCCCCCCAACACACCTATCAAGATTAATTGGTCCTACTTATGCCTATCACAACACATGGTGTACCTCATCCAATGGACTAAATGCCACAATAACAACTACATTGGCAAAACCAGAGCATCACTATGCTCTTGCATGAACTCACACAGAAAAATGATAAAGGATGAAAACAACATAACACCTACAGGTGCACACTTGTCACAAAGTGATCACTCCATATCTGACCCCTCAACCCTTGTCCTCAAAGGAAACCTGCACATTATCTTCAAAAGACGAGCATGGGCACCTACATTTTCATAACTTTGCTAGACACTAAAAAGCACGGGCTTAATAAAAACACTGGATTTATGGCTTATTACAACAATCTGGCCAGTGACCACAGGGGTATTAACGAGCCACTTTGCCGTAGAATATGCTAAAGAATCTGTTCCTCCTTGTATTTAGCTGTGACACTCTGCGTACCTTTCCCAGACCTGAAGAAGGGCCTGGTGTAGCTCAAAAGTTTCCCTTTCACCAACAGAAGTGGGCCCAATAAAAGATATTACTTCCCCCACCTTATCTCTGTAATATCCTAGGTCTAATACAGCTACAACGGCATTGCAAGGAACTGAATAGTCATACAACAAGAAACAAGCTCTGACCTAAAGTGCTTGCAGTCTAACTAGAGAAGGCAAAGGGGGCGGACAGGAAAACGTAGGCGAAGAGAGGTGAAATGGCTTGCTCAGCATCACACAGTAGGGCAGAAGAAGACCCCCAGTCTCCTGAGTCCCAGTCTGCAGCCCTATCGACTAGATTCAATGCCTCTCAGTCAGATTTAGTGTGAATGGGTGCTAGTCCACTGACGTCGCTTTTCCATTGGGTCTAAATGTGACCTGCAGGCTTTGAGCAGTAATTTCTGGTCTGGATTGCTTAACTTCTAAACATAATCTGTCGTACCAATAAGTAATTAATTCCCCAAGAAGAGATGTGCCTTGTAAGGGCCTTTACTTAAAGGTGAATGTAATATCCTGGTGATGGCCTTTCTGTATTCCTGCCCAGGACTGTGGAACAGCCAAAGAAGCCTATCTCAGAGAACCTATTGCAGGTTTCAGCTGGAGCCCAGTGCACATTGGGAAAGGACTTTGCGGATCTACTGGATGCTCTGAGGATCCCCAGACAGTACCTCCTATGGAGGCTGTGTGATTTGTTTTTAGAGTGCTCTCAATCTGCTGGGACATAAGAATGACCTCAAACATTTTTCCCTGCATAAACCAGCATTCTAGGTTCTGCTTTTCCTTGGCCTCAAGTAGTGACCTTGCTAACATCTATAGCAGGGCAGAGAGCTGACCTCCTTGTGCTGCTTTAGGCATTTGTGGTGTCATTCTTTGTTACAGGGTAAATACCCTGCACTCAAGTAAAGGCACAGTGATCTGCTATCTGATGAACCTAGTGCATAGCACCTAATAGTAGCCAATTCTGAGACTGGGGTCAGTTGCACTGGGAAATCCTCTGAAAACTATGAGCCTGCTAGCAAATGCTCAGGATGTCATTGTTCTTTCCCTTGACTTGATAAGCCTTCCTGATTTATGTAGATATCATCTGAAGTCTACGGAGCCTTCCACTTAACCAATGCACTGGTTAATTTGACGCCCCTCTTTAATTTGAACAAAATCTCTGGACATATGAACACAACCTCTCCCCCCTTCAGTTTGATCATTTCATGCCTATGTTACAAAAAGGGAAGCTTCTCTCCCTAGCTAAGGTAAGTTCATTAGTCAATTCATAAGGAAATTCTGTGGAAGTTGGAAGATGAAAGAGGCCAGGGAAGATCCAGGTGGTGATAAAAGAGTACAGCTACTGAATTAGCATTATTAGCACACCCATGTGCCACGCCTGGTGTGACGTGCACACTGCGTGGTTGCATGGATGACTTGACTGAGCACTTTCACCAACCAGCCTGCTAGGAATGGACTTGATGCCAATAGAGCAGATTCCTCTGCATTTCATTGTTGATCTGAGACCTTATGTCATATTGCCATTTTAACCTGAAGACGTGTCCGTCAAATTTCTCAGGTGAAGGGAGGAAGGAGAGTTGACTCGGGTCCCATTTCCCTCCTCCTCCCTGCAAACCACCTGCCTAGCACCACAACGGGAGCCCCTCTCAGCTCCTTAGCCTGCACTTTAGACAGCTGAGAAGCGTTGCTCCCTAGCACCTTCTCCCCAGTGGCCTCGGCTCCCTCACCAGCCACACCTTCAGCACACGACTGCTTCTGGCTTCCACAGCAGGAAGTACCTGGCTTAACTTCTTGGGCTCTGCTGCTTCCCTGGGTAGGGCAGACCCAGCAAGTGTAGAATCTGGGGCAAGCCTTTCCCACAGGCCAGGTCAGGAGGGAAATGTCCCAGAAGCAGGCTGGGTGCTTCAGGAGGACCACTCAGTGCTCCCTGTCCTCTCCTCTTCAGCAGCCTCTCCCCAAACCCAGGAACCCATCCCCATGGTGTAAAGCATCTTGGGATTAGCCAGTATCCCTATTCACTGAGCAAAACAGCATGGCCCAACTTCAGCTCAGGTGGTTTTGAGGCTAATATGGCACTCACTCCTTCACTCATGAGTCTCCTGGCTGGGGGATGCTCTGTATGAATCCAGACACACCCACCCAATGTCTCTGGAAAATGTTCCTTAACACAGAACTGGATTTACTCCCCACACACATTTAAGAATTCTCCCCCTCTGCTCTTACATCTTTCCCTTGCTCGGGGGTTACCTACACCAAGTTCGTGGCTAACGGGCCTTCTTTCAACCCTATTACCTGGCCAGCAGGATTGACAGTCCCAAGTGCTCATAACCAACCCAGGAACAGCAGCTGCCAGACCCCAGAGGGCTGCCGATGTTGCTTGTGCTCTTAGCCCTTTCATTCCCGTGGCTCACATGTTCTTTCAAGCTAACCCATTCCAATGGTCAGCAGGTGCTCAGTGTATACCGGGTCATGGGAGCAATTTTCTGGCTGTACCCAGTATATTATGTCAAGCTGCATTAAGTGGAGTTTAAAATGAAGGGCTGTGGGGACTGGAAATAGACACAGCATATTTTCCCTCTAGGTCTTTATTCAAATCTAGGCCAGCTTGGCCCAGGTTGCAAGTTGTTCTCATGCAATGGCTGTTTGGGGCCCTTGTGAAATGGGCTGATGGTTTTCAGTCCAGTTTCTGGTGGCCAGGTGTCCACAGCACAGCTTGCATTAGCTGGCCCCCTTGCTAATGGTCTCAGCTGGGAGACTGAGGACTGACTGGGCCACAGACCCTGACTGTCCCTCTCCCCTCTAGAGGGGGCCCCTGTGGATCAGGGTGGAGGCCCATGGGGGCGACAGAAGCCAGGACTGTTCCTCCCTGTACTGTACCAGTTCTTCCATCTCCAGGGCTGCCCAGGAGCTAACACTGTGGTTCCTTTTCCTCCCTCAGATCCAGAACCCATCCTGGATTGGCAACAATGGCACCGCCTCCCCCGTGCCCGCCTGCGTGGTCCCCTGTGACACAGTACCTTCCTGCATGTCCCCCCACGGACACCCCCATGCAGCTGGTGGTGTCTCCGAGTTCCTGAGTGTCTCCGGCCCTGGCAGCCACGTGGGACAGACTCACATGGGCAGCCTCTTTGGCACCGCTGGGATCAGCCCGGGCATCAATGGCTACGAGCTGGGCGGCGAGCCTGACCGCAAAACCTCCAGCATTGCGGCCCTGAGGATGAAGGCAAAGGAGCACAGTGCTGCCATCTCCTGGGCGACATGACAGGGCTGCAGCCAACGCCCTCAAGACACTGACAGAGCAAACGGGGACAGCCAAAAAAACCCACCATCCGCTTGGACTCAAGCCAGCCATTGCCTCCTTGGGGAGCCGAAGGCAGCACTTTTAGCTACAGCGAACACGTACCTTACCGTAAGTGGAGTGTTTCAAACGTACACACAGGGAGCTCCCAGCTTCCTGTGCTCAAGCAGGATAAGAGGAAGTGGCGGAATCGCTCCTATCCCAGCTAGACTTGTGTTTTCTTCTAACAGGTGGCGTTTCCCTTTCACTGTCATGCTTGCGTTTGCCAATGACCAGGGCATTTTTCTCCCCGTGCCAGAGCGGACTTTCCAATCAACCGCCCATCATTTTCAGTTGATTTCCCCCTCCCTCCACCCATGTGTTGAAGTGTTGTTTCTAATCCATTTTATTCTGTCCCATACAGGCAACAAGTGTGGGGGGTGATGCCTGGCACCAGCAAGGAGGCACCTCCTGGTGGCGGGGGAGGGGGCCGCAGGGCCATCACTCTTGGCCTCCTAGCAGGAGTCACAACTAGCGATTTGAGTTTGCAATAGAGCTGGGGGGAGAATCTTGGTCCAAAAGAAAGAGAAATTACCCTCATTGACTCCTGCCCTGGTTCCTCTCCGTGTTGCACAAGCTTAGCTGAAGCAAGGACTTGCAGAGATGCTAAGGGAGGATGAGGAAAGGGATGGTATGTCTTTCCCTACAGAGCTAAGTACCACCATTGCTGGAAAAGCTTGAAGTTACAGGCTAAGACAATCAGCTACACCCTACTTCACTCACCTCCATTCAGGCTCACTAAGGGAGATAGCAGCTTCTCTGCCTTTTAGGTGCTCAGAGGGGGAATAGCACCCAATAAGCTAAGGTTCCTTCGCCCCGTCTAGGAAATAGCTGGCATTAGTTGGTTTGTAAGCACAGGTCCACAGCAGGGAGGGAATGGCAGGCCTTTAATCTTCCATCTCTTTTAAGAGGTGTTTACTGGGTCAGCAGTTACTGGCATCTACCTACAGCTAGCAACTGTATAAGTGCAGCTGCTATGTGGGCCCTGCCCAGCATGGGTCTGTTGCTTTTCATAGCAGAAGGGAGGTTCCCTTGAATTACAACTCAAGCGCTAGCATGCGACCCTGCTTGTTGGCTTTCATGTGTGATGGAATCCCCCACGCACATGCAGCCGCTGTCCTGACGTCCGTATGTACGGAATGATCCCTTGTCACTTCACTACCATCCTCTACGGAACAGCATGCAGTTGCGGGGCAGCGGCCTCCAGTGTGCATCCTCTGAAACGCTGGTCAGCAGGGTGCAGATGGGCAGAACCTCCCTGGGCTCTCTGTGTCCTTTGAGTCAATGGCACTTCTTGATTTCTCTCTGTGGTTCCTATTTGTTTCCTGTTACCTGGGGCTGCATTAACTATTCAAAGTTAAACTGTAAACTGTTGGACGAGTTTTCCCCTGCAAGGCCAAGTTCTTCCCAACCTTTCCATGGAGTCTGTGGTGCCAGGGATAGTCTCAGAAGCTCCCATTGCACCATTGCTTAAAGCCATGGATACTTGAAGCAGCACTAGAAACAGCATGGGGTAATTCTGGCAGTGAATGTAACACATGCACATGCCTCAAGAGATGATGTTAAACAGCGTTGGCTAGGGGCAGCTGGCTTTGGCACCTTGGCTCATGAGAAAGAGAAGCTGCATCATAGCTTCATCTCTCTCTTTGTCACAAGAGCTATGGCGGACCTGGCTATCCCATGTGACATGGAGGCTCATTTCATTCCACGCGCAAGTCCAGTAACTTTCGGAGCATTAAATCAGGATGAACTTGGCCCAGCATGTTAGGGGCAACAGGGAGCGTTGTTGTAGCCATGTCGGTCCCAGGCTATTGGTTGTTGCGTTGGTTGTTGTTTTCATTTCCTCCGCCCATTGCTACTTGGTTTTACAACGTGGGTGAGGTTCTTTCATTGGACCAACTTCTGTTGGGGGGAGAGACAAGTCTCTCTCCCCAACAGAAGTTGGTCCAGTGAAAGACACTGCCATAACTCCTTGTCTCTGGGTGCTAGGAAGTCAGTTCATTTGGGAGTATTAAGGGTTCTTTTCAGAGTCTTGTTTCATAATGGTTGGATTGTCTCCAAAGAAACTACTTCCAAAATTCAGGTTTCTGGCTATGTGTATATATTATTATTTATGTACTGCCTAGCACACTGCTGTGCCCTATATAAATAATACACCTATATTAGATCTAACATTCACATGTATTTATTAGACTAAGTGAAACTAATACTTCTGTCTCTTTTTTCCTCAAAAGTCTTTGGGGTCAGTAGAATTCTAAGTGAAGCTTTCCCCCACACTCCGTGAGGGAGGTATCATGCATGTATCCAGAAGTCCATGTGTAATAATGAGTCTATGTCAGCCAAGGATGAACAGGAGTTGTGCCTCAGGGTGGAAGATTAGCTTAATGATCAGCCAGCAGTTCTCAAACTTCATTGCAACCCCCTTCTGACAACAAAAATTACTACACAACCCCAGGAGTGGGAACTGAAGCCTGAGCCTGCCTGAGCCCCACCACCGCGGGGGCCGCCAAAGCCTAAGGGCTTCAGCCTTGGGTGGGGGGCAAGTCTAATGCAGTCCTGGTGACCCCATTAGAACAGGGTCACAACCCACTTTGAGGTCTCGCCCCAGTTTGAGAACTGCTGGATTAGGTACATGGTCCCTGCGTGCGTTTTCAACTTGCTGAAACAAGGCTGCCTACCACATCAGACAGAGTCACAGGGGAGAACTTAAGCCCTTCTTGAAAGTTTCTCCAGTTTTCATGTATGTTTTAAAGAGATAACGCCGAGGTTAAAAAACAAACAAACACATTTTAACTCCCTCTTCCACAAAAAAACAATACAACACCCCCACACACACACACCTAGTGTCAGTAAAAGCTCCTTTCTCTAATAAAAATGGAAAGGATTTTTAACCTCTAAAGGTCCGGAGCGTGGAGTAGAATCCAGGTAGATGGTTCCAAGGGCTTGTGCAGAGCCACAGGCTCCCGTGGAAGGACTGGGGCCCAAATTGACTTTTCCCCACTGTTGCAGCTCATTTAGTTTTCGCCCCTCACTCTGCATCATCAACATTGCTGGTCTGGTCACTTTCACCCTCTGTTTCTCCTGCCCTAGAGCCGGCTTGCGTTGGTTGTTGTTTTCATTTCCTCCGCCCATTGCTACTTGGTTTTACAAAAAACCTTTTAAAATAACCTTATTTAAGCAGAAATCTAACAGCCAAGCCCCCAGTGTGATGCTGGGGCAGATCTAGCGGCCACTCCAAACCCCCTCAGCCAGACTGAGCAGCCCTCTGTGATTTGAAAAGTGCTTCTGCCACCCACTGCCCTGTAGAGAAGAGAAGAGACAGGACCCAGCTGGGATGACTATAAAGAGGATCCCTTACTGAGTCTGTTGGACAAAGACAGACCCGGTGGTTCACTCTGGCTCCCTAGCTCCCAGCTACTTAATGTCACCAACAGGCTCACTAAATCCAGGCGGCCTGAACTAAGCAGCTGTTGGGGGGACTGTTGACTACACTATCCTCCCCAGACCAGCTGGGGCTCCGCAGAGCCCCGGCCTTGGAAAAGGAGCAGTGTTCTCCTACATGCCCCTGATCTCACGCAGTTTGCTAAAGAGATGCTAGATTTGGGGGGACAACAAACCTAGCCTATAAATTTCAGCTGGAATTTGATGTGGGGGGGGCATGGGGGTGAAGGGAACATGGTACAGTTCTTTTCCTCCCCCATTAGCCCAACATGTGCCCTTCCCCTCACCCCCCTCCCCTGAAATGGACTCACATCTGTCACTGAAAGCGAGGTGGTCCTGGGCTAAGTAAGGACAGTTCCCAGGACATGTCTGCCTTAGCCGATGATTTACCGCTGAAGGCTGCCGAGTGCAACAAACATGCTCCCTCCTTATATGTCAGGCAGAAGCTGCCTCTCATAGGGGAACTACAAACAGCCCCAGCGGGAGGCAACGCCCGTGCACTACACGCAGAGTGGGGACACGTGAAGCGAGCTGCTCTTAGCTACATTTCTAGTGAGAGACAAATATTCCCGGGGGGGGGGGAGAGGGGCTGTTAGGGGGAGTTATCTCGACAGTTATAAGGGAGGCAGTTTTAGAGGAGCACAAGGTAGGACTGGGCCCGATCCAGCAGGGGACTGAGCACTGTCCACTCTTTCCATATAGCAGACACATGACACTAGCAGGGTGGTTCAGCCCCAAATTTCACTTACCCTAAAACCCTTGCACAACATATTCTTTAGAGTCATTACATTTATGTTGAAAACAACCAATAGTGCCCAGCTCTGTGACCTCAGCTAGCGAAACACAGTGACTACGTGACATGGCATCCCAAATGAAGTGTTCGCACGTTAGTTAAGCAATACCTGCCACTGCTTCAGTCTCGCTCGCTCAACGGCAGCTGCCATCTGCGTATCACTTCTGCACAGGGCCCCAGTGTTGATGCCCCAAAGTAAGGCTGAAAGAATGAGTGCGGACATTTGAAAACATCAGAAATCACTTTCGCAGCTAGGCAAAGAGGTGTCTATGCGCTACGCTGAAGCAATTTCTTTAGTTAATTTAAGAATTTGTTTTTACCCAACTGTTAAATTAACTAGAAAAACAAATATTTTAAAATCGAGTGCTTCCTTTAGCCCAGCTGCAGATTACTCCGCTTTCCTAATTACTGTAATGGCACTGCTGAGTCTTCACGCCTCCTCTGCATTGAGGTGCCAGGATGGCACCTTTAGATTCATGTTTATTCTCTTTATGACCCTGTCAATACGTCCTTTATCTTGGGCTTTTCTCCGCACTATACTTTGCCATTGTGATGATTTTGCGCTGGCCATGCCTTTAGAAAGGAGAACACACCTGCCATAGTTCATGAGACACAAGGCACCAGCCCACAAGTGAGCTCTTTGGGGAAGGGATTGGCTTTTTGGTCTGTGTTTGCACAGCTCCTCGTATGCCAGAGCCCTGGCCCAGGACTGAAATGGCTAGGTAATACAGGAACAGCACTAACAACCAGACTATCTGGTGAGGGGATTTTCAAAACAGCTCAACAGCTGTGTATAGTGAGCAGGAGAAGCATCTCCCTCTTGGGCCCTCGGCCCAATGCCCGCAATGGGGGTTTGCTGTCCCCTGTGCTTGCTGCTAGTATCCAGAGGCAGTCGATTTACAAAACTTTCCCCTGAACAGCAGCGACTGCGGCCATACAGCCATGCCACCAAGAGGGATGTAAACAGCAGCCACCACCTTGCTCCACCATCATTAGAAACACAAGAGGGGGAGGACATTGGGGTTTGGAAATGGGAATGGGCAAAATTGAGAGCAACAGCAGCATGGTTTTCAGAGCTGGTTTTACAAGCAGCGGAGTATAGATCGCAACCCAGGTGCCTGGCAGAACAGCTTTGTTGGGAGTAGAAACACTTCTGTAACAACTTGCAAACGTTTACTCATTACCCTTGGTCCCCAGGCCCGTCCCCCCACTGCTTGGCTTGCGCACTGCTGTCCTCTGCCAGTCACCAGGAAGGGCTGCCATAGACCACACTTCAAGAACCACTGCGCTTTACCCTAATCCCACTCTAGAGGGCATGGAGATGCATTTGCTCCAGCTCTGTCATATGGAATTTGCAGGTCTCTGAAAGGGTATGAAACGCCACTCTGCGGTCACAGAACAAGCATCTTAAGAGACCACTGGGCTGTGTGCATAGGTGAGTGTTGAGGCAAGAGGACGTGCTTCCCTCTACCCAGCAGGTTCCAAAACTCCTCTTAGCCAAACTCCTCAGAGGCCCTTAAGCCAGCTGCTGTGCTTGTGTTGTTTCCTTTAAAAATGTGCTATGAATTCAGAGACTCATCTCTCAGGCTCTTGTATTGCTAGTTCCCTGGAACAGCGGGCAGAAATGTCAAGTCAAAGGAGAATTTGCTTGACCTGTTGTCCTAGAGCTACAGTCTGGCCGGTCGTGTCTAGATAATAAAACACAAGAGAGAAAAGTGTGTGTGTGTGTGTGTGTGTGTGCGCGTGCATCCATGTGTAAATATGTCCATATGTTCCAAGACATGGGTGGGAGGGGTGTGCATTGTATGCATACTGTATATGTACAGTATGTAAAGCATGAATGCCCTGCACGTATACATATGCAATGTGTGTTGTGTGTACATACCACGGTATCTGTATGTGGTCAGTGTGTATCTGGATAGTGTGCATTGTACAGATGTGTACATACAGTGCAGAGCGTGTCTGTGTCTGGGGGGGGGGGTCTTTTCCATGTGTTCCTTTTTGACAGCATACACCCAGACATCACAGTATGTTGTAAAACACTCTAAAAACAAACAAAGGCGAAAAGGTAGTTTCCTGGAAAGGGCTGCAAAAATAATCAAACGGCCGTGCAGGACTGTGTTTATTTTGCTGTTCTGACTGACATAGCGAAAAGCAAACAGATTGAATCAAGGATTAAACCCAAATGGGAACTGGGGCAGAATCAGCCTGAAACTCATTCCGCCAGTTTCAACTCTGCTGATGGTACTGCAGGGCGGTGAAAGACCGACCTTATACCCTAGTAACTCTTTGCTGGTAACATGATTACCCACCCAATCCCACATAGCTAGATCCATAGATAGAGCTAGGACTTTTATACTACTGATTTTGAAGGACAGTTTTCAATGTATAATAATATATCAGTTTAGGTGTGCAGTGTTTGAAAGAGAGAATGGGAGAGAAGGAGAAAGAAAGAAAACAAACCTCAATCAATATTATTGGCCTTGCTGTAAAATATTGTAACCTTGTATAAACGCAACTTTTTTTTTTAGCTTAACAGCCTGGGGTAGAATATATTAAAAAAATAAAATTAAAAAAAAAGTTCAGGAAAAAAATGACTAAAAAATCATGAAAAGATATTGCAATGTGAGGTTTGTGCCATACAATTTTACTGCGTATACAGACATGTATTACGAGTTTGTTACAGTGTAATATTAAAAAAAGAACAAACCGCTTTGCATCTTGGTTCTTTTTGAATGATTTTGGGAGTAAGTTATTGCACTTCGAACTTTTTTTTTTTTTTTTTTTTTGTGTGTGTGAGGTGGGAGGGGTTGGAATACCTAGGTGCCAGTGTTTTTTTAAAGGAATCAAAATGAACTGAATTACTCACAGCCCTGTCTGAGGAGACCCAACTGTTGTTGTTGTTGTTTGCAATAAACTCCTTCTCTTCTCTCCTCCCAACTGGAATCTGTCTATTTTGTTCCTGACTTCATGACAGATGAAATGCGATCAGAGGGGGCCTCCAAAATCTCACATTAATTGAAGTTGGCAAAAAATTCTAACAGTGCCCTTTTGAACTGCTGACACAGTGCAGAATGGATTAGCCGGTGCTAGATTAACAACAGGTGGCAGCTCATAGGACTGCTGCCTCGACCCCCACACAAAGAGATTGTTAGCAGCCAAAACCCAGCCCTGGCAATACCCCACAGGCAAACGTAAAGCTAGTGAGTGCTTTTCGCACCTACAAAGAGTGCACTTTAACGTGGCTGGTAGTAGGTGAACTGGAGAGCATGATCAGAGGTAAGCGGGTGATACTATTCCCACTGCATAGTATGAGGAATTATTTCTGCTGGGGGAGATCAAACCCTCTAAAGCAATAAATAATACCTGGCGCTTCTCCAGCTCCTTCACTTTATGGTCTCAGAACACTTCCCAAATAGTAACGAATGAAGCCATCTGATAATACACCCCACTTCACAGATGGGGAAACAGAGGCATGGAAAAGCGAAGTGATTTGTCAAAGGTCCCACAAGTCAGCAGCGGCAGCGGGAATAAAATCCAAGAATAAAACTCCTCAGTCCTGTACTAACCAGTAGACCACACTGCATTTCAATAGGCCATTGGCTATAATAGCTCAGATATAGTGACTCCAGGTTTCTGAGGGACAAAGGGGAAACATGAGTGTATTGGGAATTAGCCTCCAAGAGGGCAACTTTGTCCCATGTGTCAGGTATTCAAAACTCACCAGCCACAACCCCTTTCCCCATGTCACAGGTGGCTAAGAGTCCAGTGGGAGCCTGCTGGGCCTTACCACCCAGGGTCCCTTGCACTCTCAGCCGCTGCCAAGTTTCAAAGATGGGCTCGATGATGATCAGACAAGGTTCAGTCTCTCCCTTAGCAATGCCCTTCAACCAGCATTAGCTCTTCCCACACCAGAGGGGCTGCTAGTACCAGCTTGAGTGGATCCCCAGTTTGCAGCTTCTCAAGGGCAGGACGAGGCCGAGACTAGAGGCTATGGAGCAGGTTTTGTCTCCTGTTGGTCCCTTTGCTCTGCTTTTTCACACCTTCTCCACTGCTTCAGCTCCGAGTGAAGGAAATTAGTGCTCTGTGGGGAAATCTTCTGTTGCTTTCCTTTGGGGAATCACCTCCAGCTGCAGCCATATTTTTATGCTGAGAATCTACAGACTAATCTTGCAAACTCATCAGGTTCGCCACCAGCAGCCAGTAACTGGGATTAGCCCAAACCTCTGCATTCCCGACTAGCTCCAAACTCTGATAACGCTTGGATTGGGATCTGAACTTTGCCCTTTGGGCCCATGCGGAGCTGAGACGCACTCAAACTGTCGTGCTTGCACAGGGGTCTCTTGTTTAGCTTTCAGTGAGCTGCCAAGTGTCACATTAGCTCAGATATAGCATAACTGTTTTCCCTCTCACAAGGCACCGTGTAACTAACACTAAAATTTTGTGTAACCCTTGTCTATTCCTCTCCATGGGCTGGATCACTTGTAAGAGAAAAATTCCTCTGGCCCTCAAGCACTAGATGTCAGATTCTCCACATGCTGGCAAAGCCTTGTTTGTTGGCGGCTTAAACCCAGTTTTAGTATTTCCTGTTTTCAGGGGTTTACACAACCAGCATAAAAATTTGCTCTTCGTTTGAAGGTTGACATGGAAGGCTGGGCCCTTTGCTGAGCCCTCTGAGTAGGGCTAATGATAGCATTTTTAAAATTAAACCTACAATAATGGAGCTTATACGTAGCGATATTTAGCCTGGGCTTTCACATATTCAGAGCAC